CAGGAGGCACAGTGGGGGCTCGGGGAAGAGAGGTCCCACAGCCTGTCCCTACACAGCACATCCCTGTTTCCCTGCCTCCATCCCTTACCAAGCCACCACCAGGCGCGCGGGGCACAAACACTGCGCACGCGCCTCCCCGATTCTGCTCACAGCCGAGCCGCTTTGCGTTGCCACTGCCGAGACGCGCATGCGCATTCCGGCCGAAACGCTCACCTCTATCATTTTGATTCCCAACCACCCTCCTTTTCTCTGTCTCGCTCAGATTCCTCCAAGCCGCGCGGCACAGGGGGCAATGGAAGAGAGGGATTTTTAAAAGCCTTAAAGCCGGACTTGACCTTTCAACTGCCGGAAGGTCAAAGGTTACCAACAAAATGGCGGCCACAGCTGCTGCTGGGTTTACTGGCAGTGTGGAGCCGGTGGACGCCGGACGGGCCCAGGCAGCGCCTCGCCCGCCCTGCTAAGCCCTGGGACGGAGTTACATTGAGGGTCCCGAGCTGCTGTGTGCGCGGGTTAGCGCCCAGCCGCCCCTACTGCCCCCGAGACACGCTGCCGGAAGGCAGCGGCCGCCAGCCCAGCCCGTGCTCCGGGAGCGGCGGCAGCCAGGAACCGGAGCAGCTTCCACGCGCGTAGGAGCCACAACCTCAGCGCTACCAAGTCAGGAGCAGCTCCTGCTCGCCCAGGGCTGCAGCCGAGCCGTGCCCCCACGGCACCCCACCCGGCAGGAGCCGCAGAGCAGCCCCCGACCTGCCCCATCCCTTCCTGGCAGCAGCCGACGCCCCTACCCCCAAGAGCGGCAGCCTCGCTCCCGCCTAAAAATAGCAAACGCCTTAGCAGCCCCCTCCCACCTACCTATTAGCAGCAGCCCCTGCTGACCCAGCAGGAGCATGAACCCCTCACCCCAGTCATCACTATCAGTAGTTCCCAGACCTCCCCCAGCAGAGTCCATCACCTGTTGAGCAGCAGGCCCGCAACACCTATTTCCCCTCCGCATTTTGCAACTCCGATTGTGTGAAGGAGGCAGGAGATTTGTCCCCTCCTTGTACCTTCTGTGGAAGGGAATTGTGTGTCACGCACATACATATATACAAGAAGACTGTATATTGTTGACTTTATAACTGTGCAGCTTCTCTGGCTGAATCTTGGGTGTCTTAGATCTACTGATGAGAGAACAGTAATGAAAGGGAACTTGACAAGGGGAAAAATCAAACCACCCATCCAAAGACCGCTAATGAGGACGATGTTGATGCATATTTGACTCTCAACAGTTCAGTGCTGCTGTGCAGGATGAATAGGAAGAAAGGAGACAAGGGATTTGAGAGCCCAAGACCTTATAAATTATAAGTATTAATTTTTATATTTCTTTTATGTGCTTGAGATTAGTGTTCGTTCTCTTTATTGTGTAATCTGAAAGCTTTATCGTGTAGGCTCTACGCTGACCAAAAGTTGACTGTTAAGGTTGGTTTTTAAGTAAAGTCAGATGAAGCTGTATAGGGGTAATTTAGGGATGCTTTAAAATTATTGCTGAACGTTTATACTCTGAAATCTTACTCTTTAAAGATGAATTGTGGGTTTCCATGTTCCAGTAATTCCATATCACATGTTCACAATTTTCATGTAAAATATTTTTTTCTATCTACCAACTCTTCAGACTCAGCATGATATCTGGAAGGAAAGCTGTGTGCTTTCCAACTCATGTATAAAGCTTTTTCAGCTGGAACTTACTTAACATTGCTACTTATGATGCATGAACCAGAATAGAATTCTGTTAATTGTTCTATAGCTCTATGTGCTCTGTAGTACGAACCAAAGGAAAAAGTGGTAAAAATTATTTCAGGCCTCATTCCCTGCACAAAGTTTATGGAGGTATGCCATTGCTTTAAATGTTTATTTCTCAGGACCTTCCAATGCTTGAAGAAAGTGCTGTTTCCCAAAAGACAGCTGGATGTCTTCCTCTTTCATGTATCGGATGTGTATATATGATGAGAGAGTCAACTTGCCAGAGAAATGTTTACTCCTTATGCCCTCTATCCATTCACCCCCCTTCTTCCCCAGCAATTACACCTCTTTGAGGTCCATAGCAGGCAATAGCCAGTCCTATTCTCTTGCAGCCTGGCAGGGACAGAACTCAGTCAGTTTTTATATACCGGTAGTTGGTGATATTGCACTCTAATAATTGACATTTCACGTATTGAAAAGCTATTTAGGTAATTGTTAGCGCTTTCATAACTTCCTCTGAGCCCTGCACTATTGTATTTGGGGTAACAGACAAAAAGATTCAAAAATAATTCCAGTGTAATATTTTAAAGCTGTTCAAAACAGTTCAAACTCTATTTTTCCTTGTAGCATATGTGTGTACAGCCTATATGATGGTGTGATACGTTGATGGTTTTAGTGACACCTTTGGGATGCCCTGCACAATTCCCATGGCTTGTATTTGGCCATTCATGCAGATAAGACCTTCATACCACATCACACAGTCATGAATTCTCTCCTTATGTTTATGTATATATATTTACACACTGAGTATAATATGTATACAGTATCTGTGTATATAGACACACATATGCTATAAAGATTGTTCAACTAAGATTTTCTTTTTATTAGGTTAAAGAAACATGAGAAATGACATTGACATGTTATTTGTCTGAATCTTTATTTTAAATGCTTTTGTTTTTTCCAGCACAACCCACCAGGTAGTCTGCATCAACAACATAAATTTTCAGAGAAAGTCTGTTGTAGTAAGTATATTTACAAAAATATTAAAGGTCATGTCCAAAACCAAGATTTTTTTCTGTATTTTTGAGGAAATATAACTGCACAAAAGCTGCATATGCTCTGTAACTTCTTTGCGCTATCTATGTTCTGACCAGGAGCCTGTTACAGGACTCTTTTGCCCAAGAGAACGAGGCTAAACAGAACTGTGGTTTAATATGAATTTCAGATATACAGATACAAGATGGACAGTAATTTGTGCCTGAATTTATTTGGAATTAGATTCAAGTCTTTTTAATTTCATTTGGACTATACATGCCAAATAAAAATGTTACCTTAAAATGTTTTAAGAGATTATAATAAGGTTATGCCTTAACGTATTTTGTGGTAAATTCATATTTCATTTTACACAGGCTTATTTAAAATTATAGTTTAAATAACAAAATAAAAAAAATCCGATTTACGTAAAAAAAATCTGCCCCCCTCCACCCCAAAATCATTTCTATCCACCCTGGTTAAAATTGGCTTTTATACCTCTAAAAATAAACAATCACAATTTCAGCTAATGTCACTGTTTATTTAAGGGTTAAAGTAGTAGAGATTTAGGCCCTGATCCTGAATCCATATGGACTAATAGCCAGACCCTGACAGCCATGAGGAACACTGTTGAAGTGAATGGAGCTCTGAATGAGTTCACAAATTTGCCTGTGTGGATCACCTTGCAGGATTATCAAGTCTTTAGGTTATGGAATCCAGTTTTATTATGAGTTAGGTACAATCATTTCAGTTTGAATTAAAAGGGACACCATTGAGTTGAATTCTAGTCCATTAAAAATAAGTTAAATGATCTCCAGTAATACACCTACTCCTGAATCATACTGCCAACTTCGTTAGTTTTACAGCTGAGAATATTCACCTTTCAAAAATTATGAGCGAGAACCCATTTTTAACTTTTATGAAACTTTGTTCTTTCTTTTTTTAAACAAAAAATTGGCATTTGGATCTATTGTTTGACTATGGTGTCCCTTTTAAAAATATGAATAGAATGAATGAATAGAAAGGAATATTTTTATATTGTGTTTTTGAATATGACTGTATAATTAAATGATATTGGTTTACCTATTTATAGGGTTATGTGGAACTGACTATATTTCCCACGGTTGCAAACCTGAATAGAATCAAACTGAACAGTAAACAATGCAGGATATACAGAGTAAGAGTCAATGATCTGGAAGCAGCTTTTATTTATAATGATCCAACACTGGAGGTTTGTCACCATGAGTCAAAGCAGTAAGTAACTTGTTTGAAATTCTGTAAATGAGCTGCCTTATGTTACTGTGATAGTAAGTTGTTTTTTGTTCACTGGCAGATTTCAACTGATGATTT